TTAGTAAAGTTTCTATGATAAAAATTCTATTTTATAATAATAATAATTATTTTCTTAATGTAGGACTCTAAAAATTAAAAAAGAATTAATCGGAATTCCATCGGAATCTCATTGGAAATTCTTTGGAACTCCGCGATGAAATTCCGACAGAATTCCGTTGGAAGTTCGGACGGAATTCTTGTGGAATCTCCAGGGGAATCTTTGCAAGTGGGAATTGAAAATAATAATAGTAATAAAATAATAATAATAATACTGATAAATTAATTTATCTTTCTAAATATATAGACAAATAACTATTTATGAAATAAAAATCAGATTCTTTGGAAAAAGAACCATTTTTTTTTTATTACAAAATACACATTTTTCTATATAGTGAATATTAAGCTTTATGAAACAAACAATAAATGGACCAGAAAACTGTCGTTTCTCAAGTAGTTTGCCGCGTGTTATTAGAATATAAACATATCAAATAAATAGATTTCTCATGGGAAAGAAAGTGAATAAACTTTTCTTTTTTTTTTTTTTATTATTATTAAATTAGTGATTATGGTCTTGTAATCGAAAAAAGTTGGATCTTGTAAACAACGGAGGGAGTTTTTTTTTTTTCTCCTAAAATCAATATATCATCGCACTTCCTGATTCTGTGGGGTTCGTATAAGTAGGTCAATGGATATGCGACTAGCCAGCAGAGAATACATTTTATGCTAATATTACTCTTGTATTTTTTTTCTTCTTCTTTTTTTCTAATTAGAAAAGTTGAACTCTTATTCAACAAAAAAAAAAAATATATATATATATATATATTTCGTTGTAAACCCCATATAATTATATATGTGAAGAATCGTAAATATTTCCAAATGGAGTCGAGAGGTTGATAAATTTTGTTCTGTTGTACATATAAATTGGTTATAAATCATATGCATTTAAAGATATTTTTATTCTCAAAAATTTAAACGAATATTGTAAATGGGTTTAAATTTGGTCAAAAATTAAAAATATTTTACCGAAAAACTATTAACATTTTTTAATTATACTAGCTGTTTTTATAATTATAAAATTACGTGATTTATTAAAATTTGAAAGATACTTTTTTTTAACTTTTTAAAAAATTTGATTATGTAAATCTCTGTCTCTCGATTTATTAATTTGACATTAACATATATTTTTGAAATTCGTGTATAATGTTATTTGCAAAGTAAAAAAAAAAAAAAATTCTGCACGCGAATCTAAAAAATCTTCAAGTCAACATATCGTTACGCTAAATTGCGTGATATATCTTGACAGCTGCTATATACATATAATATCGTTTTCTCATTATACCATAATTTGTGTATAGCAAAAATATAAATTGGCACCTGCAAAATTATTTATCATAAAAATATATATATATATTTATTTTTTGTCGCATATCATTTATATAATTTCAGTTTGAAAATTTATTATTATTGCCAATATAATTATCACGTATATATATATGTGATCAGGGCTTAATGTGGCGAACGTTTCAATTTATTCAAAAGTCTGATCGAAATAATTTCACTCTCCATAATTATAATGTAAACTATATTTAAATTTTTACCGCAATTTCATTCATTTATTATTATGTAGAAAATATATTAACTTGATTTTGATATACTTTAAAGTAAATATATACATTTGTCTAAGAGGTAAATAAATATTTGTTTTAAATAGATTTTATTTGTTTTAAATTGAATTTTTTCATTTAAAACAAATAGGGGCCATGGGGCAGGGAGGGGGGTAAATTACCGGTAAAATTCCTATAGCCCCCTATAGGTTTACACTGAAAAAAAGGTTTGGTATTAACAACCAAACATTTAGTTGTGGTATTTAAGCAACCAAATTCACTCAGAAAAAAATTCGTTTGAAGCAACCAAATTTTGGTTAAATCAACAAAATAAATGCATTGATATATAGTTAACCAAACATTTGGTTGCATAAACCAAATGTTTATTTAGCCCAATCAAATTTTTTCTTTGTTCAAAAAATTTATAAAAAATAAACCAAACATTTATTTAGATCAAATAAATATTTATTTGACTTAAATACAAATTTTGTTTGAACTAACCAAAAAATTGGGTAAATATAAAAAAATGGTACATTTGGTTCAAACATATATCTTTTTTCTGAGTGTTTTTTTTTTTTTTTTTTTTGTTGAATCAACAAAATTTTGGTTGTCCCAATCAAACTTTACTTATAGGACAACAAAAATCCTTTTTTTATAATTTTCGTTGTGTCAAACAAATTTTGATTGAGACAATTAAAATTTTGTTGATTTAACAAAAAAATTTTTGGTTTAAATACCAACCAAACGTTTGGTTATCAATACCAAACCCTTTTTTCAGTGTATCAGTGTAACAAAAATATTTTTATTCGAATCAAATAAATTTTTTTATTAGACTTTTTTAAAAAAAAAAAAGCCTAAAATATATTTTTATTTGCTTCAAATAAATTATGTCTGTATAATAAAAGCAAAATATTTCTCTGAATATATAGTGAAAGTTTAAAAAATTTATTATTTCTAAGGAAATTATTTTTAATTTTCCACTTCTTTTTTATCACCAGTTTTCAATTATTAGAATACGACTGTAATAAATGTGACTAATTTACAGCATCCCCCCCTCACATTTTTTTTTCCTGAGAATCTTTGAGATTTCCCACTATATATATATAGGGGAGAGAATATATATATATATACATATATCTCTCTACTGGACATGGTGGGTTCAATTACTGGAAAAGGTTCAATTACATCGGCTTGCAGTTGAGTGTCTCCTAAACTAGCCAGAAGCTGAAACATTCCCCCCTTGACTTTTGGAGCAGTCATCAATAATTCATGTAACCGGAGGGTCCAAAGGAGGGAGGGAGGGGGGGAGGTCAATACTTAACATCAGGTTAAACGCAACCGTAGCAATCAGTGCTGGCATGCAAGGCAGATCCGGCTGACTCAATAATTACGTCTGATACCAGGTCGCCTTGTATATATATATATATGTATATAGAAAATGTAGGGAAACGATGATCCCCGTGAATATAAGAAGAAAGAGAGAAATGCGCGGGAGGAGATTGGACTGACCAAGATGAACCTTGGGTCCAGAATCCATATAGTGCCTTCTTGGTTTTGTGTATAGTAGACGGAAAAAAGTTTGCAGAAGAGGTGAGAGAGAGAGAAGAGAGAGAGAGAGAAAAGGAGAGGAGAAGAGATAAAAAGATGGAAAGAGAGAAGGAGAGAGAGAGAGAATATAGGGAAAGGTATATACTATATAGAAGTCCTCTGGTAAAGAAGAGAAAATAAAAGAGGAAGGAAGAGAAGAAAGAGCGCGATTGCGTGCGGGTGGTCCCCCGCGGCATGACTAGCTTGTTGTATAGAGCTGCACGTCAGATATTTCACTTTGCTTCTTATTCCCTTTAACCCAAATTTTTTTTATCCTTTTTTTTTTACCAAAAAATCTCTTATTTCCTTCTTTATCACTTTCCCAAGGAAAATACTTTTTCGACATGGAAAAGAGTATAACACAAAACTTTTCTATTAATGCTTGTTTACATGTCGCGATATTTACACTCGGGATGAAAATGATGTCGAACAAATTTTCTGAATGAAATCTTTATATTGAGAAAAACAAAATTCATATATATATATATATTTTTCAAAAGAATAAACATTATTCATTTACTCTATTTTTCATCAATATTTTAATCCGTATGAAAAGTTTTTCAATTCAATTTCGCGGGAATATTTTTCATCACATGAATCATAATAATAATTTATTATTATAGAAAGGAAAAATTGTAATTTGACTTTATATATATATAATAGAAAAGAGTTTTTCTATTTTGAAATATAATAATCGATTCTTTTGAAAGAGAAGAAGAGAAGGAAAAAAAAGAGAATTGTTTGTAGAGGACTTGTTATCGGGTGTTCCGACACTTTCAATTTCTTCAACCGGACACCTGTGAGACCTCCCGGGATTCTGGTTCTGCCGACGCAGCAGGCACTCTCTTTCTCTCTCTCCCTCTCTCTCTCTCTCTGAGACTTCAAGTCTTGTATTACCACATTCATGTCAACACGATGTCAACTACTTTCCAAGAAGGTTTATACACTTGGAAATTTTCGTTAAACGATTTTTTGATTTTTTGTATAAATAAACTCCCTGTCACTGTATGTGATAGATGTTATTTGGTATATTTTTAAAAAATCTTGAAAAAATAATTAAAACTTGTTTTAAATTATTTTTTTGTTCTGCTTTTTAGTTAGCGATACTAGCGCTCTAGCGGACAAATTGTTGCAACTCAGGTGAGAGATAATGGCGGACTACCTTTCTTTGACGCCGCACACATATTATAACATTTTGAGTGTAAATATGTTTTCAAAATTTAAATACTTTAACGGAGCAATTAAAAAAAATTTTGTCTTTGCCACAAACAAATTTCGTGTTCAAATTACCGCGAGCCATCGAATGACAAAAAAAAAAAAGAGAGAAATAAAATATAGAACAATTTGTATACGCAAGAGTTGTAAAAGCATCGAGCGATAAAAGTTGTTTTGAGTTGTGATTTTCATTGGCAATATAATTGATAGGGGCGGCATATCCAGACAATCGGGGTGGTCCGTCAACCGAATTTATAGTTAATTATGACATATGACCCTTGATGAGAAAGAGAGAGAGAGAAATTTCTGATGGCCACAAGAAATCTATGATTTAATACCCGTGATATTTCGAGAATACTCGAGAGTCTATTCAAAAAAGAAAAAAAAATCTCACCGAAAAAAGAATGTATGTATGTGAGAGAGAGAGAGAATCTAAAACCAGAATTTAAAAGCGGATCTAAATTTTTGACGAATGAGGGATCGCACTCATTGCCCAGAAGTACCCGATGAATTTTTCATGACCTATTACTTCATTTTTTTTTTTTTTTAATCTTTATTTATTTTTAGCCATTTAACTGGTATTACAATTTTCAATTTAATTTTCATTTTACAGAATTATGTGACCGAATTTCCGGAATGAATCTGATAACAAAAGGGTCAAATCTGATAATGTCGCGAAGATCTCCTGATTTTGGTAAGTGCTGTTCAATATCATTTTAATAATTTTTTACATATGTTTTTTAAAATGAAAAAACGAATTTAAAATTAAATTTTTTAATATATCTTGAAAATTTCCATTAGGAGAGATTAAAAGAATTTCAATTTACTCATTTTTAGACTAATTGAAATTCCTTTTTTGTGTTTTTTTTTTTTTTTTTTTTTTTGATCATGGGTCAAAGCAACAAACAATAGTTGTTTGCTTTATAGAGGTAGGATTTGTGTATAGCTGGGTAATTACGTGTATATAAACTGTTTGCATGTGAAGCTGTCTGTGAAAGAGTGAATCTGAATTTCAAAGCAAGTCCAACCCCTTCGAGAATTGAAATCAGCCGAATCAACCCTAAAACAAACTTCAGTATTCTCTATATCTCTCTATCTCACTTTATCAATATCAATATATATGTATAGACACAAACAATCGGTTGTTTTTCATATGATATATAAACAATTTCGCAATTTATTTTTTCAATGGAAAATATATATTTATTTTTTATTGTTCTTTTTTTTTTTAAAAAAAAAGAAAAGCTTGAATAATTGAAAATTAATTTTTCAAACAAAATAAATATTTATTTTACATTATATTTAAAAATAAAAATTACATTAAAAATATTCGTGGTAGAAAAAAAAAATATTTTTATAAAATACAAATTTTAATTTTAGGTTTTCTGATATCGAATTATTAAAATCGCGATAGTGGAAACATATATATATAATTCATGCATTATTTCGTCATGTGAATTGGTTAATAGATAGAGACTTATTTTTTTGAAGAAAAATTCCCCTGTTTGCAACTGAGTTATTGATCCTAACAAAAGAATTCATTTCATCACTTTCAATCGTTCAGAAGGACTTGGGATATCCAATGAGCTGAATGTATTGAATCAGGGGTGCGTATATATATATATATATATTGAAGGGATGAAAAAAATTCCCTTTTTCACTGAACGCAATCCACCGCAAAATACTTCTGGTATAGTGCTAATTAATTTTTCCGAATACGAATGTTTGAATTATACATCACATCCTTTTTTCAATCCCATAAAAATCGGGGTGGTACTTTTTCATTAAGTGACAAGTTTTATTTATCGTCTTTTTTCAATACACTATATAATTAATTTATTTTTTCTGTATACTAGAAAAAGTTAGCTGTGGCAGCGAACTATTTGCTGTCACATCAAATTACGTTATAGCCAATATACATATATATGAACAAATTTACTGTGGTTTCCAAAAAGTTTGCTGTGACAGTAATTTTTAAAAAATTAATACTGATACAGTGCAACCTCGATTATCCGAACTAATACTTAGACAGGACCGGGTTCGGATAAACGAAAATTCGGATAATAGAAATTTCAAACGTTTTTATATATAATTAAAGTAAAACAATGTCACAAACTATAATATATACTGAAAAAAAAATTTATTTGATTCAAATACTTGATTACTTAAGTATCATCAAATAAATATTTACTTCAACCAAATATAATTTTTATTTGAATTAAATAAATTTGTATTTTTGAACCAATAATTTCTGTATTTGAAACAAATACCGCATTTAATTGATTCAAATAATAATTATTTGTTACAAATAAATATTTATTTTAAATTAAATGTATATACATATATTAAATAATAGTTAAGATATAAATACTGCCGTGTTTTCTAAAAACTTAGGTAACTGCAAAAAAATCGAAAAATGAGTTTTTTATATCGTCGGAATCGTGGAAAAAAGATACACCTGTTAATGCAAATTATTTTTAAAAATTGTTAATATTATTAATAATAATTTTTGCATAAATAATTGAAAATACCGGTAACTGCAAAAATTGATGAGTGATAATTTGAGAAACTTAGGTAACTGCTATAAAAACTTGGGTGTCTTTGGGTGTTGTGACGTATTTTGTAGGTCGTGATTTGAAGAACTTAGGTAACTGCACCAGTGCCTAAGTTTCTCAAAACACGGACCTCATTTTTCGAGCCCTCGTCGCATGGAAAACTTAGGTAACTACAGAGTGCTATCAGAGCACTGTAGTTACCTAAGTTTTCTATGCGACGAGGCCTCGAAAAAGGAGGTCCGTGTTTTGAAGGACCAAGTAACTGCAAAATCTTATACATTTCTTTAAAATTACAATGTTTTTTGTGCAATTAATAATTTATAATGACAATAAATAATGAAATAAAAAACTCCAATACTATATATATATATATATATATATATATATATAATTATTATTATTATTAAGTATTAATTTTAATAAATAACATAAAAGCATTAATAAATTAAGAAAATGAAGTTCAGTAATATGTTTATTTCATGATTAATATATAATTAATTTAGTTCAATTATTTAAAAAATTAAAATCGTTTTTAATTATTTAAATAAACGTTAATAAAGCAGCGAACTACATTACCTACAACAATTTGACTTTAATATTGTAAAATTAAAATAAATTCAATCATTTAGTTTAATATTTGTAAAAAACAATAATTATAATGATAACTTTCGCATCTTATTAAATAATTACACTTTATTATTTATTATTTATTTTTATATTATTTTTTTTTATATTATTTTTTTTTATTTTATTTAATATAATTATTTAATATATTTTTACTATTTTTTAATTTCTTTAAGGAATTTAATTTTATTTTATATTATTATTTAATATATTCTGAGTTAATACAATATTTGACTCTAATATTGTATAATTAAAATAAATTTAACCATAAAATTAAATATTTGTAAAAAACAATAATTATAGTGACAACTTTCGCAGCTTATTAAATAATTATAGTTTATTATTTAATATATTTTTACTATTTTTTGCCCAGAAAGATGAAAATTCTTATATATTCCCTGCAGTTACCTAAGTTTTCTGTGCGACGAGAGGCCTAATACGGGCGCTCGTAGCACGAGGGACCAAGTAACTACCAGTTACCTAAGTTTCTCGTGCGACGACCCTCGAATCAGCATACCGGTAACTACATTTTTAATAATTTATTGAATGTTTAAACAAATACAACATTTATTTTTACATAATTAAAAAGAATAAATTTAGACGAATCGAAGGAACAAAACGGCATTTAAAAATTTTAATTAGGCTTTGCGGTACATATCAATGAAGTTTAAACAGTTTTTCGCGTTTTTCTCGAAATCTTTCATTCTGCAGTTACCTAAGTTTTTAGAAAACACGGCAGAATACATTAATAAAATGAAAAGACAAAAAAAAGTTCGGATAACAGAAGGTACGGATAACAGGGGTTCGGATAATCGAGGTTCCACTGTATTGCGCGTTTATCACATTTTTTTCGTACACAAACATTCTGCGCAGGCGCAAAATTTAGCCCACTTGTTTAGTACGTCAGAGGATTAAATTTAACCCTCCTGATTGGCTCTCGGTGTAGCCAGCCTCATAGCAAAAAATTTAGCTGTTGTTACTAATTTTGATAAATCCGATAGCAAATATTAGCATTTTTTAAGCAATTCCTTTTTTTGCCGTGTAAGGATAACAAAAATAGTTCGCTTATAATTTTGTTTATTAATTTTACATTAATAAGAAAATTTAACTTACTATAATTTTTACTGAAACTAAAAATTAAGATAATATTTCGGTATTATTAAAAAGTAAATATATAACACTGTTAATACTTCAATTAAGAGGTAAACATAATTAATGACTCAGAATCGTATGTGGCGCATTTATGTTCTTGATTATACATATATGATTCATTGTGTATTTTTCATTAAATATAATTTTTATACATTATTTAATTTGTAAACTATAGTTTCAGTATAGAAGAATTTAATGATAAATTTTATTATTTTAACGAAAAAGTATAAAATAAATTCAAAACTTAAAATTTCAAACTTAGAAATAAATTATAATAATTCCTTCATTATAATAGAATTTAAAATGGATAAACGTATAATAATTGGTTTTTAGAAAGTTGTTAAAATTTCTAACCCACTTGTAAAGATTCCCCGGTAAGTGCCCCCTGGAGGTTCTATCAGAATTCCGCCGGAACTTCCAATGTAATTCCGTCGGAATTCCAAAGAATTTCCAATGGAATTCTGACGGAATTCCGATTAATTTTTTTCAAAATTTTTAGAGTCCTAATTCCATCGGAATCCCATCGGAAATTCTTTAGAACTCCTATGGAATTACGTTGGAAATTCCAGCGGAATTCTGATAGAACCTCCAGGGGGCACTTTCCGGGGAATCTTTCCAGGTGGGAACTTAGAAATAAATTAATAATATTCCTTCATTATAATAGAATTTAAAAGGAATAAACGTATATAATTGGTTTTTAGAAAGTTGTTATAATGTATATAATATTCGAAAACCTACTTTGGGATATTTTAGGGAACATTAATCAACATAATTCGGCGCATCGTTCTCGCATGTATAATTTAAACCAACTGGTAATTGTCGACGTAATTAGTCAAGCACATTTCAACGCGATCGTACAAGTGCGCGCACATATTATATATATATATATACACACACGAGGAAGAATTTTAGTTAATGGATGTATAGCTTTATCTAAAGGACGATTTGTGCATTTGTTCCATTATCGATTACAAAATGAAATTGGATTATACTCATCACACGAATGGTTTGTTTTATTTAATAGAGCATAATTACAATATTGTTTATATAAACACAATCGATTAAATATAGTTACAATTATATATATATATATATATATGGTACAGTAGTTTTAGATAGAAACTAAATATAGATATTCTTGAAAACCATTAAAAAAAAATATATATGCCATATTGTGTTGATTTTTCAACTTTTGGTTTACTTAAGAAACAATAGTTATTATAAAGATAAATAAAGAATCCGTTTTTTTTGAAAAAACAGAAGCATTTTTATATTGTGTAGAAAAAAAGCTTATGATGTATAACATCTGTGATGGCGTGCGAGAAAAATGTAACCACTTATGGGCGTTTAATGGGCTTTTCCG